GCTTACTTCCTTGCGTACGGATGACAGCTGCGTACGACTTAATATTTTTTCTGGTGCTCTCACTTCCAGAGACAGTTATAAGCACTGGGTAACTGCCTCGAGGGTGCTTNCATTAATTGGCTTGTTTTGCAACGTCGTTGCCAAGCGACGAAAACCCAACCACGATGGGAAACACCGGGGGGGGGGCGGCTTGTTTTACAACGTCGTTGCCAAGCGACTAAAATTCAACCCCGACGGCAAAAACCGGGGGGCTGCGGGCGAAAACTTTGCCGTGTATGTCCAATCCGAGAATCGAACTCGGGTTTCCACAGCCACAATGTGGTGTACTGACCACTGTACTAATTAGACGGCGTGGGAGAGGCGGTATTGCACTTTTCTAACTAACGTTGCGAGGATGACTGAGTGCGCATCGATAGCGGCGTTCATCCTCGCGCGAGAAGTAACGGGATTGGCGCGTCACCAATTGCATACCGCGGGTCTGGTAGTCGAGACGTTTAGCCTTCCTAAGAATCTCGAATCGTGGGAGAGGCTGGTACAGTGCTCTCTTAACTCCTATTCTTCCCCCCTCTTCCCTCCCTCTCTCAACGTCGTGCATTCCTCTTCCTCCCTCCCTGCCGATGCCGGCGTTTGCCGGCCGGTGTTTGTCTTGCTCCCCGCACGCGAACAAAAATCAATCAGGTTCTTGCGGGTGTCGAAGTTTGCGGTGCTACAGATGTTCTCGTCAGACAGGCAGGCGGGCGGTGGGTCAGCCTCGCGTGTTGTGGACATTCTGGCCGAGGGAGTGGACGGCCACTGGACACCCTCCATCCACCTCAAGATCATCAAGGTACTGTAGTTGCACGCGCCGGTGCCCGCAGTAGGGTTCGGCTGGCCCAAGCCAAGCAGAAGATTTTGCGCCTTGTTCGCGGGGTGCGCCTGTCTCGAGCGGTGCACGTGCGCTTAGCTCTCTTCCCCGCTCGTCGTGTGTTTTGTTTTCGTTCTTTTCATGCACAAAACAACAGCCTACTACTGTGTATCCACACCAGCTAAACGTGCGCATTAAATTAGCGATGAGTAATTGACCTACCTATCATCTCGTTATTGTTGGCCACGCCACGGCTTCCCACGTGACTCGTTCGTTGCCCGCTTCGGGAAAAAAATTACATTCTCCCGCTCGCCCACCCCACCTCTTGCCGACCTCCTACCACGTGGCGCCATGTTTGGAATTATAGGAGCCATTGAGATGTTCACTTGTGTTTACTTTTGCTTCCGAATGGCCCGTACATTTTCAAACGGCCTTTCGTGGTCCTTTGCTTAGGGGGGAGCAAGGAGCAGAAATAATGTTCGCCGTTTGCCAAGATATGCCACTCACACTTGTCCGCCCGTCCCTCCTTCCGCTCCGCCCTTGGGGACTCCAGCCCGTCCGCGAGGTGACCCTGAGCATCTGGAAGGCCATGCTCCATCTCCGTAGGGCGTGGCTCGCGCAACCTTCGCTGTCCCGCGGGGGAAGCGGCGACAACGCCTCCTCGGTCGTGGGCGGGGACCGTTGTCCGCCTTGGGACGACCCTGCGGCGCTGGAGTACTGGGTGCGGGCGTGGGCGGCGGGAGGTCCGTCGGGTCCCGCTGGGGACACCCTACACAGGTGTTCTTTTCGGGGTTGGGTTGTTGTTGTTGTTGTTGTTGTTGTTGTTGTTGTTGTTGTTGTTGTTGTTGCTGTTGTTGTTGTTGTTGTTGTTGTTGTTGTTGTTGTTTCAGTTCTTTTCTTGGAATTGTTGGTGTTTTATTGCTGCCGGAGACACCCTGCGCAGGCCTTGTTGTCGGCGTGTTGTTTTTCAGTTACCTTCTTGGGGCATGTTTGTTGCTGTTGTTTTGTTAGAGGCATGAAACAAGTCCCATCTCTACCTATGAACGCCGATAAAGAGTTGAGGATGAAAATAATTCGTAGATATCTGGTAAGTCGCGTTCTTGGATGTTTGCATTTCCTCGTCCATCGTGTGGTGCTTGTGGAGTTGACATCGGTGAGGCCGTTTGGCGAGAGCAGCACGGAAAGCGATTACTCTCCCGGTGCTCGGGAGAGAGAGAGAGAGAGAGAGAGAGAGAGAGAGAGAGAGAGAGAGAGAGAGTCTTTTCATGGTGTATTGTATGATGGGGTGGGTGCGACTGCCGTCAAGGTGGGGGTAGGGTCGATGCTGCATTCGCCCGAAAAAGCACGCTGACCGTAGGCACGTTGCCATGAAAGGATATGCCCACACTGAGGATTACACACGTGAGATGTTGTCCGCTCAACGTCTTGGCGATAACCTTCAACTTCGCGTAAAACAGGACGTGCGTCGTGTTTCTTTCTTCCAACATTGGGCAATCAACAAGTGGTTTGTTCACCCTGTCCTTTTCAAGCGAACAAAAAAGTACCTCCTTCCCCCGACTCGCACCGATTCTCGCCCCATGAACACGCCCCTCCAGGTTACACGCCCGTAACGTTTTGCTTAAGGCGCTGTGGCCGGTCCAACCACAATCGCCTACGGCTCACGAGCACGCCACGGCATCACCCTCTGCCGCACCGGGCGCCGCCGCCGCCGCCGCAGCAGCAGCAGCAGCAGCAGCAGCAGCAGCAGCAGCCAAGAAGAAGGTTCCCGGAACAATCTTCCCGCACGCGGAGGAATACGGCGTGCGGATGAGCATCGGCGTCGATGAGTTCCTCAGCGAGTCTGTGGGGGAGCACTTCAAGTGAGCCTTGCTTGACGGTAGATGCGCGCTTTCCCGTAGCAACTTCCCGCTGGCCCTTGTCCGTTATCGCGTGCATACCGTCGGTTTGCGTGAGGTACGGCACACCCCGCGACCTGTTTTGTCAGAACTTGATTGCCGTGCAGCTAAAACAGCGACGGCTACGAAAGTGGCGGCGTGGGATCGATCTCGTCGAGAGCTTGCCTACTACGTACTCCGGCAACAAAACAACAAATCGAATGCTATCGCAAGACCAAGTAGGATGCATACCATTTTTTTTTGTGGCGTACGAAGTTGAGGTTTAAATGTTGTTCCAGGGGGTGTGCTATCTTGTTCCATCTCCAGTAGCTTCTCTCCCCGATTGGCACGAAATAAGGCGCTCATCGGTCCCACGAGTCATGGGGTTTTCTGAATGCACCAGACTCGTTGTCGTTCGGAAGGGTCTTGTGGTAACGGTTAGGGTTAGGGTTAGGGTTTGCGGCTCGCGTGTGAGAAGAAACTCAGATGGCACAGTGTTTTGTCGGCCTTGACACGGGGCCTAAATAGTTGTCGGGGCCGACCTGTTTTTCACTAGGCCGGAGCGGCAGAATGTCCGCCAGGACACAGCCGCTGGCACTTCCCCGGGCACTCAAGTACCGCACCCTGTTCATATAGAAACATACATACGATCACAGAATGACTACCCGTTCGAGATGTTACCACAGTCCAAAGGAATGTGTTGAAGTCTTCGCTCCCTGTCCATTGTTTCTTAGAAATACACATACGATCACAGAAATACCCAAGGCTCCTCTCAGGAGCGATTTCTCAATTCGGTAACGATTGGTACGGGAATCAGCGAACACGGTAATACACGGTAATGATTGGGTGGAAACTAGCCATCGTGGTGACGTTTGGGTGGTAACTGGCCACCACGGTACTGTACGGTAGTAGTTGGGTGGTAACAGGGCAGCACGGTAACTCCCGCACTGGAACTAGCCACCTCGGGAATGCACGGTAATGTTTGGGTGGTAACTCGGCACCACGGTAATGCCGCATTAGCGGGCCACCACGGTAATCCACCACGGTAATGCACGGTACTAACGTAAGATGAGAACACTTCTCAAAGCGATGCACTGCATCTGTGCTGCGCTTTTTTTCAGTGCGCGTGATTCCCGAACAGCGCGTTCCACAAAGGAAGAAAGAACACGAAACACATGAACGGAACCTATCGCGTTTCGCGTTTCAATTGTTTTGGGACTACAGGCGAAAATCTCGCGGTCAAGTTACCGAGAAAGACGAGGCAAAAGACAAAGGATAAAACAAACGAACTTCATCAGTACGTCCAGAGCGACACCTCGAAATATTCATCATTTCATCACTATCCATATCGATTTCAGCTACGTGAGGACTGAACGCACCAAACTTTCTGCCAGACGATGCTGAAACCACCAGCTACCACGTACACGCATATCGAGCTCAACGACAAGCAAAGTGTACCGTATTTGCGTCACATCGCAGGCAAGCAGTTCACAACAACAAGCAAAAAAATACACCGCACTACGGCAATACTCAATACCAATATTCAAAGACTCAAGACACAAGATAAAGTTCTCCTTTCGTTCAATGGATCGATACTGTAGAATAGAGATACAAAAGAAAAGAAGAGCAGAAAAGAGATGGCGACGAGGGAGCATCGAACCCGCCGTGTACAGTGCTACTTCATGCTTGCAGGTAGCCCCGCCAGCTATGTGTGCGATAAACGTGTTTTGGTCCCGTACAACAGCGGGAATTCTAGATCTCCCCGGTAATCGCTTGGGTGGTGACCAAAAGCACGGCAATTGGGTGGGTGGGAACAACGGGATTTCCACGTCCTTGGTAACGATTTGGATGAGAATGGGAGAAGGCCATTTGCTCGGTAATGATTTGAATGGGTACGGCAACCGGGAATTATCACGGCAACGTTACCAATTACCGTTCCCGTGGAAATCCCGCGGGAAAGTACCGCGGGAAAATTCCCAAGGGGAGCCTTGGAAATACCAACCCGTTCGAGATATAACCACATTCGAAGGGAACGTGTTCAAATCGTCGCACCCCGTGTTGTTTGAGAATTTTCGTACAATGACAGAGAAGGATTTCCTAGTCGAGACAAAATCACGTTCGCAGCGGATGTGTTGAAGTCTCCGCACCCTGCCTCCCGTTGCTACGCCGATCAAGGTTCCTGCGTACCGCGGTCGACCTCGACGACGACCGTTTGGCGTCAATCTCGACCTTCAGCATCTCTCGGACCCTGGGAGACACGTGCATCTCCCCTACCGCCGCACGCCCTGGTTCCACCGAAGAAGCATCGCGGGATGACACCGGGGGAGCTCCCGGCGGTGCCGGTCCCGCAGCAGCCACGGCACCCGGCTTGCGAGGGGAGGAAGGGGCAACCAAGCACGAGGTCCCGTCCTTCTACCCTCCCACGGAGCCGTCCGAGCGGCGGATCGTCGGGGCTTGCTTCCACGAGCTCAAGGCTCGCGTGATGGCCGTGGCCGCCGCTGCCGCCGCCGCCGCCGCCGCCGGTGGCGCTGCTGCTGCTACGTCGGCGGGAGAGGGCGGCTGCACGAACCAGACGCCCCCGCCAAGCGGCGGCGGTGACGGGGCGAGTGCAGGCGATGCCAGTGGCGGTGACAGCTGGTCCGGTGAGTCGTCCTCCGGCACAGCGGCTGGCGGTGGTACCCCTACGCGGAGAAGCCCCGTTTGCGAAGAAGGCCGCACCGCTTCTGTGAGCACAAGCAGCGGCCAAAGCTCCGCCGGCGCGGGGGGTCAATTCGCCGGAAGCCGCGACCCGCCTGGCGGCGGAAGGAACAACAGAGGAGCCATGTCGAGGACGACGAGAGCGTTGGAGCCGTGGCTGCTGCCGCTCGTGACGAGGCCTGCGGGATTTCTGGTGGAGGTTGAGGGGGCTGTGGTGAGGGCCGGGCACCGCCGGGCGCTGGGGAAGCGGCTCGATTCCCTTGCGCTGCAGACTAAGGCGCTCGCGGTTGCGCTGTCGGAGATGCCCGGCAGGTATGTACCGCGGGGTGCATGACGTACGATACCATACCCCCTTGACCGTTTTTCAAAGCTGGAATGCTCCACGACGAAGAGGACGCCAACATCGAATGATGCGTTTTTGGAAAGCTTTCGACGAGGCGGTTTTCAATGCAGCCCTTGTCCGTACCATTGCTGCTGATTGCTCTGTCTAGCTATGAGTACCTGTCCAGGGGGTTTCTTAAGAAAGTTACCACATGCGTCGTGTGTCTGCACGTGTTTTTGTTGTTGCTGTACGCTTGAGCCCAAACTGGAGGCCCGTGCTACGTAACTCTCTGTGTAGGAATAACGGGGCTATTGTAGGATATTTTCCAAATGGTCCTTCAATATTCACACATGATATTCTGAACTGACCTTGGCACTATCTCGGACCACGGAATCGAGATGAACCCTTCTTGGTGTTGCCGTTCTTACCGGGAGGGCTTTCCACCGTCACTTCCTCCTCGCCGCGACTTGCGCCCCATCTGTGTTGCTCACACCGTCCACCAGCAGCTTGATCACCCCCCCCCCCCGG